GGTCCCAGTACCGACCCCTGAGGAACACAACCTAGATACCAGAACATGACTGTAAATTAAGTGGGGATAAATGGGTGACTTCCAAAGTTAGTGAATTTTCTTGCTTTTGGAGGAAAATGTCTTCAAATAACAACTTATTCTTGTAGATAATCTGTATGTCTGCTGTATACATCTATGCATTTAACAGAAGGACATAGTTTAGGATTGACTTCAGCTTAAAAAAAAAAAAAATTGATCCTAAACATCCCAGGTTACTAAAATACTAAAGATGTGTAGACATTTTCAGCAATGTCTGAAAATGGAATCTCTCAAACTTGCTTTGACAGGTTGTAAAATGAGTAGTTTGCGTATGAAAAATGTAAATGACCATATCCTTTTGTTGCAGCAGAGTAATCCCTCTTTTTTCCAATTTATTCCATACCTGGTCCACAATGTATGCAAATGTTCTGTTGGAAATTCAGTGTTTCATTGATCTAAATGTATGTACCTCATTACTGTATAGGGTATTCCTTTCAGATTATTTTTAGTTTCCTTTTTTCATTAATTTCCTCTTCTAATTTCCTCCTATTGTATGGAAATGTAACTACTGTCTAGTTGTTTATTGTGTTCTTAATTTTAGCTGTGACTAACTCAGGAAGACTTACTCTTCTAATGAAAAAAATGTGTATTAAATCTTACTTGATGTACAGATATAACTAACATTAGTGGGAGACAAAATGTATTGGGGATGCAAGGGGATTTTTTTAAAAAAGAATTTTGTCTTGCTCATAATTTTTTCAGGTCTCTTTGGAAATGGGAAAGATTTTTGTTGAGGGTGTTGGGGAAGTGCAGGAGTATGTTGATGTCTGCGACTATGCTGTTGGTTTGTCCCGAATGATTGGTGGACCTATTTTGCCTTCAGAAAGTAAGTATGTGTGTATGTATGTTGATTTTTGGTTGGTTTTTTTTTTTTAAATTCTGTTTGGACAAATGAAGAGATGGAGATGTATTTTAAATATACAGTGTTGTAGTGCAGTAAAATCTCTGTATTCTGAATTATTTAGGGAGCATGTTTTCTAGGAATGGATGTGCTGGTAGACAGTAGCACCACCTAATAACGTATCTAGCCTGTGACATATGGCAAAAGAGGCAATAGACTTTCTCTCCACTCTTTGAAGCATTAGATTCTCTTTGATTTCTTTGTTAATGAAGGTGCTAGAGGAAAGTATGTGGAAAGTTCAGCAGAACCTTTTTTCAGTTACTGATTAGCAAACAGTCACCATTCTATTAACTGAGGAGTTAAAATAGTAAAGCTTCATGTTGTCATGTTACTAGGTTTTTCCACAATCTAGCTAACCTTGTTCCAGTAAGCTGCAGAGCACATACAATACAGCTCTCCACAGGCTAATGCTCTCATGGACAGAGGAATGATGCTAGGCCCCTTGCTTACATGGTTTCCTTTAAAAAAAAAAACCCCAAACAACCAAACCAACATTAAATAGATGCAAATTGTGTTATGCTGTGTCTTTGCCTTCAGGACCTGGCCATGCCCTCATAGAGCAGTGGAATCCTGTTGGGTTAGTAGGAATCATCACAGCTTTTAACTTCCCCGTAGCGGTTTATGGGTGGAACAGCGCAATTGCAATGATCTGTGGGAATGCTTGCCTCTGGTAAGATATAGCTCTCCAACATGCTAACAGTATTTTAAAATTACAGCTGTTCTCAGGCATGGAATTGTTATCAGTCTTGCTGTCCGGTGTTTCTCTGTGCTTGATTCTATCTCACATAGGCTTAATTTCTATTTATTTTTAGGTTCATTGTAGTCAAAAAGCTTTGTGGGGAAAAAAGTTTTATGGTAACCTCTTTTATGAGGTATTGAGATTCAGACCTGTCCAAGATTTAGCTAAATGGCCTGTTAATGAAGAACCAGGTTGAGGTCTTGCAGCAGTGGTAGCAAACAACTAATATTTTCAGAATTGGTACAGCTAAAATTAAGAATCTAAGTAAGTAGCTTTACTTCCTCTCCCAGCTCCTGCTTTGCTTTCATCTGCCTGGTTCACTAATGTCTGGCATAGCTCTTGTTCATGTAGATTTCAGTAGAAGCTCTGAATGCTCAGCTGTGGAAAGAAACGCTTGGGTTCCTGTCTTAACATGCACCTGAAAACCAGGCTAGTTGAAGTGTGCTCTATTCCAGATACCATAAAAATTGCATATTTGAATTATTTCTTATTCTTGAAGAATCAAAAAGAAAATAATTTTTTTTCTCCTTTTTAGGAAGGGTGCTCCTACAACATCCCTCATTAGTGTTGCTGTTACAAAGTAAGTTCTTTACTTTCTATTTTGCTTTTTAAACAACTTCTTTTCTATTTAAGGTAGTGCTTAGAGTTCTGAAGAACTGCTTTCCCCTTGTTACCCAAGAAGTAACAGTATGTATAAGATGTTACCTATACTGTTGGCCAGTTTTATCTGGGACCAGGGCTGTGTTTGTGCTGAAGTAGGACTAGCCGTTAGGTTTACTTCCTTGTAGAAGATGAATTGTTCATGAAATTCAGCTTCCCTCAGTCATGCATTCATGTTTCAAAATTATCCCTTTTTTTGAGAGTCTCAGCCCAACATCGGCACCCAGTTTCTTGGCAAAATCTTCTGGCTGGCTATGTAGACCTATATCCTGAAGATGCCTTCACGCAATCTTTATTATCCAAACCTAGTAACACCTTAGCATATGTTTCCAGGATTCAAAACTCATTCTTGATAAAAAGAACAACTCTAAAGAAAAAATGTCATAGTGATACTTACTCTACATTTACTGTTACTTTGCTTACTCTATTAGCATTTTAAATATGTATCTATTGTGTGCTATAAATAAGATTTATTTTTAAATGCTAAATATAAAAAGGCTCCTTTCAAATAACTAATTAGTAAGCTTTAATATTAACTCCTGAGAACAATGGGCCCAAACCACTTACGGGTATGATGTTAACACCTAAGTCCTTCATGAGAGAAGTATGTTATGTATTGTACAAGCTACATCAATTAACTGCAAGACTACTGGTTTTTAAAAATCTGTAGCTTCTTCATGTCTATGGTTAGACAGTTTTAATGGTTCATTTGCTACTATATGCACCTGTCAGAAATCTCTGAAATTTTTACATCTTTGATTCTAGGATAATTGCCAAAGTCTTGGAGGATAACAAAGTGCCTGGAGCAATCTGTTCTCTGGTTTGTGGTGGAGCAGACATTGGGTAGGTAACATTTCTTGTATTTAGTGAAGATGTATAGAAGATAAAGAATATTCTTTGAGTTACTTCTTGTAAAGTTACTCTGGTTTCCAGGAGTACCCAGTACATGCACATGCCTGCTGCCATTATTTTTATCAACTGGTCTGAAACTGTTGCCTTGCTGTAAACATAAACATATTTCTGCTTGCTGTGGTGAGATCAGCTGCTAACAAATAACATGAGATATTTAATGAAGAGACATGACTAAGTTTATATTCTACTTCTGCATATGCTTACATCCAAAGAGTATAGCTAATATTAAATTCCACTCGTCATGTTTCTAAGAGTTTTCAATTTCTAGCCCACTGGCCTTTCAGACCACTTGTGTAGGAGAATACTTGCCCATTTTCCATGCTCACATAGGACTCTGCACTTGCTCATAGATACATACCTGCGCTTGGAAGCTGTACAAATCAGATTGTTTTCTTAGATTATTACAGTGTGGAAATTCCCAGTATAAATGTATATTCAGATGTATCTTTTGAGCATTTCAAGAGATGACAAAATAGAGGTAAGCATTAAAGTCATAAGTATGCATATTTTCTTTGGGAACATAACAATTGGAGGTGATCTGACTATGAACTTTGGGTTGAACTTCAAAATTAGTACAGGTGATGCTCTTATGGTCTGAAAGGGGGAGGGAAACAGCCTTGTTCCTCTTTTCTGACTAAGAAACAGCGTCCCTGCTGTCTGCTCGGTCACTTACCTGATGTTTTCAAAGAAGTGGCTCTGACTTCAAAAGATCTCCCCAGTTGAAGTTGGTTTATGTGGAAAGTGCAAGCATCTTTTCCAGCTGTCTGTTCTTCCACTGAACATGGTGGTATGTCTTCTGTTGCGCAGGACAGCAATGGCAAAAGATGAGAGAATGGACCTGTTGTCCTTCACTGGCAGCACAAAAGTGGGCAAGCAGGTAGCGCTTATGGTTCAGGAGAGATTTGGTGAGTGTGTGGGGTCTCCTCCATTTCTTTCCATGGTTGGGAAAGGCAGGGGAGCTTCAGAAGATTTTTTAAAACAGCTTATTTCACTTACCTCTTTTGTTAACCTTTTTTTTTTTTTTCTTTTAACTTGTTGGAAATAGGGTGTTGAAACCGCTCAGAGATAGATACCACATTTTTCAGTTAGTCCTGTCACAACTCAGTGTTTTTTCCATGGTATGCACAAATCCATGGTCCTACAGTTAACCATGAGTATAATTGTATGGAGATTGTCAAGATGAACAGCCAGGGCCTACAGTCTTTTGGCAGTGTGTTCATGGAGAAATACCCCTCGCCTTTTACTCCTTATAAATGCAGGAGGAAAGTTGTGATTTTTGAGGTGGTGTTTTTGTTGCATCTTTTCCTTTCCAGTGCCTTTTTTGCCTATTTTTTCAAGCTTCTTTCTGCCATAACTGCTCTTCAGGTATCTTTCTTCACAATAGGTAATAGATGTAGTATTCAGTGTAATTTTCTGCTTTGGCTAGAGTGATTAGTTGACTGTGATGCCTAAAACTTTTTGTCTATCCAGAAAAATATGTTTATGAAACAGCTCTAGTTAGAGGTGACCTCACTGAATGAGGTGTAATGAATGTGTGTGTGTATGACATAACTTGTTTTGTGTGTTTTTATTAGGTCGAAGTCTGCTGGAACTGGGAGGAAACAATGCCATTATTGGTAATATGCACTGTAGAAATTTAGTTCCCGTAGATGATGTCTGGAAGTTAGTATACGAATGTTTGTAGCAAACTGTCCAATTTTTTTCCTTCCTCTCCCCGCCCCCCC